TCAAACTTTATGGATATCAATGAGCCCATTCGAGTTGGGAAACAAATGGACAGACCACTAAAAGGTACCTTCTTCCCTCTTGTTACCACCAAGCCCTATTTTGTGGGATCGAGATTAAATTTTGATAACAATTGAAGAAATGTATAGTTGAAAAATTATGAATTTAACAGTGTATAGTTAAAATTAATTATTGAATTTGACTTAAATTAATATCTAAATTTTAATTCCTATCAAACTTGCACTAAATGTTTTCTTTGTCTAAGCAAATGATTTTTTTTTTATTTAATACAATTGTAAGATAATTTTTGAACTAGTTGATAACCATTCTTCTCGTATTAAAATTTACAAAACAAAACTCGTATGTTTTTCCTGATACTCTTCCTATTGTATTTTCAAGCTGTCCGGATTCTTTCTGCAAGCTTTGTTATACCAAAACCAAAATCTGAAGTCAACAATACTTCAAAAGAGCCACCTCTTCCCGTCACTTCTGTCAACAACACGATCAAATGATAAGGGTGCGTTTGGTTTGCGTTTCCATTTTCCATTTTTAGTTTTGAATTCACTTATAGTTTTCTATTTTGAAAAACTATTTTTGAATTACAGAAAACGTATTTTGTTTGTCATTTTGAAAAACAATTTCTCAAAATAGAAAGCTTGATAATGCGTTTGGTTTAAAATTTTTAGAAATTATTTGATGACATTTATTCAATTAATTTGATTATTTAGTAAAATATAATAATTTTATGCTAATATATTACCATATAATATATATTTTAAACTTGGTGAATTTATTACTTTTTCTTGCTACAAAAATAAAATAATAAATAATAAATTTTCAAAAATTATTTTATGACATTTATTCAATTAATTTCTTGCTACAAAAATAAAATAATAAATAATAAATTTTTAAACCAAAATAGGAATCGTTGTAAAGAAAACATTTAGTCTACCCTTCATCCTTTTGGATGTATTTTGTTGTCACTTGAACAGTAAAAATGATATAATAGTTATTTCAAACTTTGATCAACGAAAAAATAATAATAATAGAAATTGAAAAATGTTGTTGATTTTAAAATTATTATGCTTCAATAAATTCTATCAGATTACAACATTTTATTTTAAAAATACCGCTGAGCATTCTCTGAGTAAGAAAAAAAAAAAAAAAAAAGAGGAAAACAGCATGTTTTGAGTGCTTTCCGCATTTTGAGTCTTTTTAATTCAAAACATTCAAAATGGAGAAAAATCGTTTTGAGTTTTCAGTTATAAATTTTTCCTTATTTTCGGAAATCACAAACCAAACACGTTTTTGGCATTTTTGAAAACTAAAAACAGTTAACGGCTTGAAAATGTAAAACCAAACGCGCTCTAAGTTTCCACTTCAAAGATTCGTCCCCATTTACGCGTATTCATTCCTAAGAACACAAGTACTCCCCCATCCTCCCGTCCTCTCCCCTTTCTACCAAGTCATCTTGACCGGTCATTCCTCTTCTCGTGGCATCAGACATCAGAGTCTTTACATGGGCATCTTGGTGCAGCTTGTTTGTCGGCAAATCAATGGGCATGATCGGCTTTAAGCGAGGAGCGATGTTCCAATTCGAAACACCACCATGTCTACGATACATGATCTAGGTGAAATCAGGCTCAAATGGGTTGGTTCGATAGTGAATACAGACCTTGATCCAACTAATAATTTTCGAATTGGGTCTCCATAGGCCCAGACCCAACAATACCAATAATGTTCTAATTGGGTACAATATTACATGGCATTTAACACCCCACAGGCACACAAAGTACTGCCATGAACAGAACTCAAAAGAGTTTTTTTAAACAGTAACAAAAATGAATCGAACCAAGGCAAAAAGAAATTTCACGTAGCAAAAAATCAAACTAAAAAACAAATTTGTGGACATATACTGATGTTAAAGAAACCATAAGAATCAACAAAACCAACACGGGCATGGCAAATCCAAAGAAATACAAACACAGCCCTCAGCCAATAGTAACTTCACATTAGCAGCAATAGCATCGTTTGAGCAGAAAATTCCCACAAAAAAAACTAGCAACAAGAAACAGAACTCCAACAATTTCATTAACTCATTGGATTATCTCCATAGAAACACCCTCAATGTTGCTAACATCTAGATATCATCAACCCATCTTCACTCAAGAAACAAGTCCTATAGTGCCAAGACTCACATCATAGATCTAATGTGACATTCATGAAAAAATGGTATTTCCAATAGTAACACAGATTATACACGCTGATCAATGAGTTGCATGCACTAAAAATGTAACAATCCTTAATATTAGTGCAGAAATGCACACATTATTGATCATCATATAAGTTCTAACCCAATAAAAATTACAAACGAGGCTGAATGTCACATCACATAACATATGTAAGATGTAAATAATATCAATCTTTGAGTGTTATTTTCAAGAGAAATGAACACACTAATACTCCAATGGTCAAGAGACAGTATCTAAACCACAAATATTAGCTACAACAATTTTGTGGGCTGATCCAGCTGAAGCTTTTTGAGTCCACAATGCTTAAAACCTCCCAAGCAAGTACAACACTAGACATACATAAATATAAAGAAAACTCCTCGCAACAAGAAAAAATCATCAGTGAAAAACATAAAACCATGTGATTCCTAATATCTACCACAGCACCATACTAATACTCCAAATTTCAAACAGAGTTTTCACGGGCAAATATTTGTTGGTTAATCAAAGCTTATATTCATTTCTTAGGCGCACTCTATATTTGCAGAAACTATCAAATCAAAATCAAAGAAGTAACAATAATAACTATAAGAACAAGGAAGAACCGCCATTTTATTTTATTTTTTCTAATTCCTATAAATCAATTGGTGCATATTGGCAGTAACAAAAATTCTTTGTGATTCCGATTGCGACTAAATCAGGCAGATCATTGCTTCAAGGGAAAGTCGCACCTGAACGTTGAAACTTTTAGGTCCTTATTATGAGGTAATATGAAACAGATCATTTATACTTCATATCAAATCACCATTAAATGTACGCTCATCGATTCATACATTTAGATTTTAACCATTTCATATCTAATGAGCAACAAAGTAGATACAAAACCACTTAAAACATATAATAACTCATGGACATTGATAATATGCATTGTAACAATGTAAGGGTAATAGAACAAAACTCATTGTTCAGAGTCAACATTAATAAAAATTTAAAAAGTAATTAATTCCAAATGAAAATGTCAAACCAAACGCGCTCTAATTTTCCACTTCAAAGATTCATCCCCATTTTCGCGCATTCATTCCTAAGAACACAAGTACTCCCCCATCCTCCCGTCCTCTCCCCTTTCTACCAAGTCATCTTGACCGGTCATTCCTCTTCTCGTGGCATCAGACATCAGAGTCTTTACATGGGCATCTTGGTGCAGCTTGTTTGTCGGCAAATCAATGGGCATGATCGGCTTTAAGCGAGGAGCGATGTTCCAATTCGAAACACCACCATGTCTACGATACATGATCTAGGTGAAATCAGGCTCAAATGGGTTGGTTCGATAGTGAATACAGACCTTGATCCAACTAATAATTTTCGAATTGGGTCTCCATAGGCCCAGACCCAACAATACCAATAATGTTCTAATTGGGTACAATATTACATGGCATTTAACACCCCACAGGCACACAAAGTACTGCCATGAACAGAACTCAAAAGAGTTTTTTTAAACAGTAACAAAAATGAATCGAACCAAGGCAAAAAGAAATTTCACGTAGCAAAAAATCAAACTAAAAAACAAATTTGTGGACATATACTGATGTTAAAGAAACCATAAGAATCAACAAAACCAACACGGGCATGGCAAATCCAAAGAAATACAAACACAGCCCTCAGCCAATAGTAACTTCACATTAGCAGCAATAGCATCGTTTGAGCAGAAAATTCCCACAAAAAAAACTAGCAACAAGAAACAGAACTCCAACAATTTCATTAACTCATTGGATTATCTCCATAGAAACACCCTCAATGTTGCTAACATCTAGATATCATCAACCCATCTTCACTCAAGAAACAAGTCCTATAGTGCCAAGACTCACATCATAGATCTAATGTGACATTCATGAAAAAATGGTATTTCCAATAGTAACACAGATTATACACGCTGATCAATGAGTTGCATGCACTAAAAATGTAACAATCCTTAATATTAGTGCAGAAATGCACACATTATTGATCATCATATAAGTTCTAACCCAATAAAAATTACAAACGAGGCTGAATGTCACATCACATAACATATGTAAGATGTAAATAATATCAATCTTTGAGTGTTATTTTCAAGAGAAATGAACACACTAATACTCCAATGGTCAAGAGACAGTATCTAAACCACAAATATTAGCTACAACAATTTTGTGGGCTGATCCAGCTGAAGCTTTTTGAGTCCACAATGCTTAAAACCTCCCAAGCAAGTACAACACTAGACATACATAAATATAAAGAAAACTCCTCGCAACAAGAAAAAATCATCAGTGAAAAACATAAAACCATGTGATTCCTAATATCTACCACAGCACCATACTAATACTCCAAATTTCAAACAGAGTTTTCACGGGCAAATATTTGTTGGTTAATCAAAGCTTATATTCATTTCTTAGGCGCACTCTATATTTGCAGAAACTATCAAATCAAAATCAAAGAAGTAACAATAATAACTATAAGAACAAGGAAGAACCGCCATTTTATTTTATTTTTTCTAATTCCTACAAATCAATTGGTGCATATTGGCAGTAACAAAAATTCTTTGTGATTCCGATTGCGACTAAATCAGGCAGATCATTGCTTCAAGGGAAAGTCGCACCTGAACGTTGAAACTTTTAGGTCCTTATTATGAGGTAATATGAAACAGATCATTTATACTTCATATCAAATCACCATTAAATGTACGCTCATCGATTCATACATTTAGATTTTAACCATTTCATATCTAATGAGCAACAAAGTAGATACAAAACCACTTAAAACATATAATAACTCATGGACATTGATAATATGCATTGTAACAATGTAAGGGTAATAGAACAAAACTCATTGTTCGGAGTCAACATTAATAAAAATTTAAAAAGTAATTAATTCCAAAACCCTAATCAAGAGAACAAAATCAAACCCTAATTAAGCAGTGAGGACGACGGCTCCACCAGCTTCCTTGATCTTCTTCTCGGCAATCTTCGATACGAGCTTGGCTTTCACCACAACGGGTTGACTCGGGGGAAGAACACCCTTACCCAGAACCTTAAAGTACCCAAACTGAGTCACATCAATCACAGGGGCAGAACTATTGCTCTTCTCGGCCTGTTCCTTCACTTCGGGAGGGACAAGTGACCAGATTTTGTCGATATTGACGGTGGGGCAGAAGAACTTGTTGCGGAGCTTGTGGAAGTACCGCATACCAACTTTACCGAAGTAGCCGGGATGGTACTTGTCGAAGAGAATACGGTGGTGATGCATTCCTCCGGCGTTACCGCGACCTGCGGGATGTTTGCGGTGTTTTCCAATACGGCCATGACCGGCGCTCACGTGGCCGCGCTTCTTCCTGTGCTTCTTCAAGTGGGTCGTCATTTTGTTGAAGTGGGAGCAGCTGCGTGTACGGAGGAAATGAGGATTAGCCTGTTAGGATTAGGGTTTCTGAGGGATTTATACATTATACAGATCGAAATGGTTTGAGGCGAAGGGTTTGTGAAATGAAGATTAGGGTTTTGTTGAAATGACGGCATAGCCCTTATTCGAATGCAGCAAATTACGAAGTTGACCCTACCTTCTTATTTTTTTAATTAAAAATTCGTTTTCGTTTTTTCCTTTTATGAAATTTTGGCTTTGGTAGTAATTTTGAAAATTAATTTTTTGATCATTAAAGAAAAAAGTGAATCCTATTCGTGAGAAAAGAAGTAAAAAAATGATGGTTAAAATTGTAAAATAACGATTAAAAAATTAATTTTTTGAATAGAAAAATCAATATCAAACATGTACTAATTAGAGAAAAGATTGAATCTCTCGTTTGTATGAATATTGAAAATTTTGAAATAAAGAATTAAGCCTCAAAAACATGTAACGATCTAATTATACTACATCGATCGCGAAAAGTCGCCTTCAAATTGATTTTGAAGTTGAAATCTATTCAATGTCATTGTTACACCGCGTAAGAAAATGACATGTAAAAAAATACAATAAGAAATCCAATAGAAAAACAAGAGAAATTTGTAACAAGTAGCGATTGTTATTTCTAATATAACATAAAATTATTGCAGACCTTTAAGAAGGTAGCAGAGAACATAATCCGACATTAGCTTTTCTCCTGCTTTCTTTTCGATGATCACATTTATTTTCATGTAATATAATATTTATTATTTATATTAAGAATGAAAATTGAAATTACTTAATAATAAGCTAAATAAAATTTTAACGTCTTTTATTCATTAAATCCAATCTACCTTACTTTGACCAGATCAAAATATTGTAAAAAGGAAAAAATAAACATAAGAAGAATAACATAACATCATAGATAGTAAATATTTTGAATAAAATTAGAATACATTAAAGATCCCACATCCATTGTGTATTTTGCAGACTAGTGTACACTCATTTATTCATTTGACAAGAATTGGCTAAAACTACCAAGGCCTCCTTGTACCACCAAGAGGGATCGTGTTCGACCCCGATATCCCATGGTTGCCAAATCTTCCTCGACCACCAAAACCTCCTCGACCTCTGGAACGGAAGTTGCTTCCGGAAGCTGCCAGAAATGAAATGAGAACACATCAAGATCAAATAAGGCCAACAAGTTTGTATGGCATCTCTGAAGATCCTGAGGTCAAAGCCATGTTACATGGACTCTTCCACAACATAGGATGCCATACACTCTGACAATAAGATGGGTAATGTGTTCGATGATTTGTATAAATCCTATGTAGTATTAGCTAGGACGATATTACAATAAACAAAAGTTTGGCGGTCCCCTGATGTGTGTTCAAACATGGTGCATGCCAATTTGAAGCAAGTATAATTCCCTCGGTTTTTGGTTCATAATTCTTAGAACTCAACAATACTAACCTCCTCCGCTGGATCGGGCCATTGCAGCCAACTCAGGAGGAACAGCTTGTCCTGCTTGTTGCAGGATCTTAATAAGTTCTCTTGCGTACTTGGCATTTCCGTGGGTAAAAAATGTGACAGCAGTTCCTTTGGCTCCTGCACGACCAGTTCGCCCAATCCTGTGGACATAATCCTCGAGACTTGATGGGAAGTCGAAATTGATGACACATTTTATGTCCTTCACATCTAAATTAAGTAAAGACAGAATACAATACAATTAGTAAAACATTAGTGACACTCTTTCCAAAAAAAAAAAAAATAGCATAGAGCAGGCTTGGCTAAGCTTAAAAGTAGTGTAATTTTAAGCAACTTTTTGCCTCCAAATATGTTACTCTTTCTAAAGTAATACCTTACTATCAAAATAATATTTTTTGTAGCTATGACTAATAAAGTATTCTCATTTTGAAACTTATTCTTATAAACTAACTATTTAAGCTTCGCCAAACAATTCAAAGCCACCTTATCCCTGCACTCCTAAGATCCAAGGAATCATATGCAAGATAAAACACATTTGTTAAATGTGACTACCTAATCTTGCAGGGATAAGGACCAGCCAACCGCTGTAAATTTCAAAATCAACCCATCCAATCAATGAACAATCTCGTGTGAGTCAACCGGCTGTCACTAGTACCAGCTCCATAACTGTGGATGGGCAGCGTCAACATTGTGTTACTCAACATAGGAGGAGCCACATTCTGTCGGGAAAAAGCTAGTAGCACCAAACCCTCAAAGTCAGCATCCTATGTTTACAAGATCCTCAATTCTGCGCATCAGAAAAGAACATCACACACGACAGCATAATAACACCGTCTTGTGCACCCAAACCACAATATTCTCGGGAAGATGGAGAACAGCCGGAGACTCAACTATGTTTAGAGTTGGAAGGTCCAAAATGAGAGACTAAAAGTTCCTAAGCCATAACACTTATCCTACCAAGACCACGAGCAGCAACATCAGTGGCAATCATTATAGGACTTCTGCCACTCTTAAACTCAGCAAGGACTCGATCCCTTTCATCCTGGCTTTTATCACCATGAATGGATAATGCTGGCCATCCATCCATTCTCAGCTGTCTTGTAACTTGATCACACCCTTTCTTTGTTTCCACAAAAATTAAAATTTTACTTCCATCCATCACGTCTTTCAGCAATCTGATCAACCTGCAAGAGGGATGTATGGTGAGAGACCATAATCATAAAGGCCAAGGATCAACACCCATATTCCAAATGTCACCTGTTATATTTCTCCAAATCTGTCATAATTTCAACAACTTGCTGTATAGATAGATTTGCTTTCAGGTCTGAAGACCCAATGATAACCTGAAAAGTTTTAGGTACAAAAAACAGCAACAATTGAGAATATATGGATACAAATTATCCATCGGAGATCTTTACATTCAAAGCATAATTATGATGGGGAAAAAGAATGTAAGAGAAACCTTATAAGCATTGCGTAGAAATTGCCTTGCTAGAGTTTCCACCTCCCTTGGCCACGTGGCACTCCAATACAAGGTTTGCCTATCTGGGCGAATCTGCACCAGGAAAAATTTAAAAAAAAAAAAAAAAAAAAAATTTAAATTTTAAAAAAAATCGATAAAAGATAATTTCTGCTTATGAATTAAGACTAGTAAGAACGAAATTTCATGAATGCATAGAAATAGTGAGTGGGTGAAGCTTGCTTCAGTTAGGAGTTGTCATCCAGATGGCAGGCAGGGAATATAAGCAGGGTGCTTGAACTGCTTAGAATTTAGTACCCATGAAGGAAGCAGAATGCATCTGGCATCCATTTGGGTTTACATGCAAACTATTTTGTGTGGATGTGTAGTTGAAAATGAGTTTGAGATAAAACGAGTTTTCATTTAATAGAAGAAAAACATGGGCTAATTTTGGTCTACCACTCTCTTTCTGGAACATGTTTTACTTTAAAAGGATCGTATCTTCTTGTGAATGGGAGATTCTTTGGCATACAAAAGACATGTCACAACCACCTAACTTGCCTTTTCTGATATTTTATCCATGGTGCTAAATTAGTCGTTCTTTATCCTCATTTATAATTTTATCCATTCTCCCCATGCGGTCTTCAGTTTTTCCACCTAGAGAGAATTTTTTAATTTCCCAGAGATGAAAAAATTGGCATTACATTAATTTTTGCATTTCTTTCAGCAATCATTGATAGAAAGGGTAGATCCTATTTTCCACAGCAGATGATTTTGATTGACTCACACTGGGCAAACAGCAGTTAGGTAGTTATTATCTGATGAGAAATTATCATCAAATGATCTCCTATTTTAAATCACTGGTTTTGGCACTTTGAAAGAAACAGATAAGGGAGATCAGATTAGGTGAGTATTACGAAATGAAGAAAAAGTTTATCTTTATAATATCATTGCGGAGGACTAAGAATTAAAAGTGCAAGAATGAAATCGTTAAGAAGAAGGTTGAAACCATGAACTAAATCAGCATCTTTTATTTGATGGTTTCAAAGAAAAATAAAAGAATCAGGACAAAGGGATCTGCACTTTCATGTCCTATTTCGATATAATGATGATTACATTCTATCCAGCATGAGGAACTTACTCTATTGAAGTTCTGCATTGACTAAAGGCTACAACATAAACTCCGCATTGGAAAATCCCATCACTAACTATATAATGAACCCAAAAACATACTAGTTGGCACAATGATGTAGTAGTTGGACATTTCTGTGAGATCTCCAGGATATTGACATAACAAATTTTAGGTACTCTTACACACTTCCTAGTATTAAAATCAACTGAAACCCAGAAATTAAATGGTTCATGTAAGCACTGATTTTGTATTGGTTCCTGATTAAGTCAAGTCACCAGTTTTCACTTGAAGACTCGCTTATTTATTTCACCTTAGCTGCCAGCTAATAGCAAACTGTAACATGGTGGTCCAGTTCCCAACTAATCTAACATTCCAATACTTGGATTTGGTCATAAGCTCCCAATCTCTCGAAGTTAATTACATGTGCTATAAAAGTGGCAGACATGATTAACCTCAAAACAAAGTTAAAATTATAAAGATAATTCAGCTAGTGGATTTGCACTATTAAGAAACTGGGAGAAGCATAATGACTTTCTAACAGAGGTAGCACATTTCGACACACTAACTTAACTTGTCCAGATAGCTTCCATATTAAATGAAGTTTGACAACTACTTTGCATTAGCAATCTATAGTAATTAACTCAAAAGGCCTGTAACATCCAAAAATTAAACTAAAATTTCATAACGTTTCCTGAGAAAATGATCACTCAAGATAACTAAGTCTGCTCACCTGGGAAACAATTTTCCTGATTTGGGGTTCAAATCCCATATCCAGCATGCGATCAGCCTCGTCCAACACAAGGTAAGTCACCCTTCTCAAGTTTGTATGTTGAGATTCCAGCATATCTATCAATCTTCCAGGAGTAGCAATCACAATTTCAACCCCTGTATAAAGAAGAGGGGGGGGGGGGGGGGGGGGGGAAGAATAAAGCAAAAAAATAATAAATAAATAATCTTTACAATAGTTCCCATCAAATATCAGTAATTACAGATTTTTGAAAAGAACTAGGTAAAAAGAAATAATACCTCTTCTAAGATCACGAATTTGTGGACCTTTTGGGGCACCGCCATAAATACATGTGCTCCGTACATTTGCACGTGATCCAAATTTTAAAGCTTCTTGTTGAATCTGAACAGCCAATTCTCTGGTAGGAGCTAATATTACTACAATTGGACCTTCATTTTGCACTGGTATTTATGAATTTTTGTCACCATAAAATGTAATAATTAGAAATTATATTCATACGAAAGGTGGAAAAAATCATCACAAAAAATAGTAGAGAGGGACTTACTCAGCCGGGGCTGAGCACTAACATGAACCAAAGCAGGTAGCAAATAGGCCAAGGTCTTTCCTGAACCAGTCTCAGCAATGCCAATCAAATCTCTACCCTTTAAAGCCATTGGCCATCCTTGTGATTGAATCGGAGTTGGTTCAGTAAACCCCAATCTAGCAATAACCTCGAGGCAATAACCTACAAATCCAAACAAATCCAACAGCTTAATATTATTACAGAAGTTATTTCTAAAAGATACAATATAATTTGCCAGCCATGAGTGTGATTTATGCATGAGAGATGGTTGGCCCTCTGTGTGGGCCCCACAAAGCGAGAACACACATACACATCTGGAACCAGGCAATCATGGCATTCTTTATTCTTAAAGTTGGAAGGTTATTCTAAAGACATAGTAATACCAGGAAAACTTGCTTCTTGAAATGTTCGGATTGGCTTGGGTATATCATTGCCTTGAACAGTAATATCCCGCCTGGCACGATACATTGCAACCTCTTGTTCGGTCATTGCTCTCACAGATGGGCTCTCTACATAGAAGTCCTTTCTAAAAGGAACCAAGTTATCAAAATCTTGCCTGGGAAGAGCAATGTTATCTAAGTCATCTCTAGGCCTACTCCCTCTCCAATCACTGCCACCAGGACCTCCATGAAAACTGCTCCTACCTCCACTAAGCCTACCACTAAAATTTCCACCTCTACCACTTCTACCTCTGCCACGACCTAAATCAAAACCCCTCCCGGATACACCACCTCCTCTCCCACCATCATGGCTTCTTCCATCACTCCTGTCTCCAATCGCCCCATTGCTAAATCCTCCACCACGGCTTCCTATACTGTTAACACGGGTAACATCAAACCCTCTTCCAACACCATGCTCAAAAGAAGAATTCCTACCAAAAGTACCAGCACCACCTCCTCCAATTCTCTCACCACCCCTCATAGAAGGAGGTGCCACTGGAACACCTCTATATGGAGCTGGTACTCCACGGCCATAGCTTGGTGCATCACCACTTGGACCAGGTGGTGGAATTGAAAATGGTGGCTGTCCCATCAAATCACTACAATCAAACAGAATATTGCACAGCTATTACGTACATATTCACACATTTATATACATAAATGCTCATGAACGAAATCATTAACCAACAGAAAATATTTAACTAATAAAAAAAAAGCACATATAATAACAAAATCGATTTAAAAAGATTAAAACTTTAGAACATAAGCACAGTTGCTATATACACACTCCATCATATAAACATAAATCCACATGTATAGACTCAAGTGTACAAATAATACAAAAGTACAATAGAAAACAAGAAAAAAACCCGTCAGAAAGGATTGAACACTTCGTATAAATACACTCATTAAACACTATAAACAGAAATGCACATGTATAGGTCCATTTGTACAAATAATACAAATATACAAAACAAAACACGAAAACTCAGTAGAATCGATTGAACCCTTCCATATAAATACTTATATACATCCGTTATACACCATAATTAAAACCAATTTAGAAAGATTAAAACTTTGGTACACAATTATTACCCATTGTAATCTATAGAATTGCGATACACAGACATATAAACACAAATTAAAAATGAACAAATTCTATAAAACAATTGAAGAACCTTCTTCGCTGACGGTAGGAGCCGGCATCGTGGAGCCTGGAATCATAGTTATTAAACATGGTCTATGTGGATATGGAGTCAGGGCTAGGGCTAGGGCTAGGGCTAGGGCTTGGGTTTGAGTTTGCAGAATTGAGAAAAAAGGGGAGGTCAAGGAAATTGAATTTTCTTCCCCTTTGGTTTTTATTGTGTCCTCCAGTTTTGCAGAACGAAAGATATATATATATATATTTTTTTTTTTTTTAAATGACAATGAAAATGAGAAATTTTAAGCGCATAAATTTTTAATAAAAGTTGATGAAATATGTGATTAAAATATTATGAATTTCATAAAATAAGTAATTAAAATTAATTATTTACTTTAACTTATATTAAAATATGAATTTTAATTTCTACCAACAAGGACTAAATATAATTTCTATAAAAAAATTATTAAGGAAAGAAATACCTTTCGTGATACCTATTAATCATGGACTCATTTATAATCGAGACATGTTTGATTCAGAAATTTAGGCCCTGTTTGAGTCCTTTTTTTACCTCATTAAAATAAAAAATATGATCGTTATCTATCACATCAAACCATCATTTTTGAATTTTTAGATTTTGTGTGGGGTCCATAATGACTCTATTTTTCATTCTCATTCTACAAATAATGTGGCTCAAATGGGCTATATTAATAGATGGACTAATGAATGGAATAAAATTAGAATTTTTGTTTCATTATCTAATATACTATAATGTTGTGTACTGAATAGCTTTTAATATAAAGATAATAATTTATAAAAAAATATTTGAAAAAAGCAAGTAATTGCACTAATTTTTTTTCTTTTTTAAATAAATGTTTAACATGTTTCATTGAAAAAGTTACTTAAAAATAACTTTTTTCTCTCGTCAAGTCTAAAAGTAACCATCTTTTTTCCAGTGTTTTAAAAAGCGTAATGTATAGCAATGCATTGACCCTAAGCTAAGGGGTAAGCGAGATTAGGCGAGGCAAATGTATAAAAAAGTGTAAAAAGCATTTTGCTTATTTTAATATTATTTTAAATTTTTAATCAAAAAATTTATATAATAATTATTAATTATACATACTAAACATTATATTTATCAAGGGTGCCAAATTCGTGAATCAATTCAAAACTATAATTATCACAAATATACTAACAAATTCACGACACTTTTAAGTTTTATCCACCTACCAACCCCATTTGATATGAAAAAAGAATTGGTAAAATTGATAGTGCACATTGCACTAGAGAAAATGAAAAACCCTATTGTAAACTCCACTGTGAATTAACCAATGTCTCTTTCATTAGCCACAAGGCCATAACTCCATTAACTCACTAGAAAAAACCTTACTGTCTCTTTCATTTTCAGTTTTCTGTACTTTTATAAATCCCGACTATCGAAACAATAAAGTATAAACCCACTGTCAAAAAGGCAAAAAGAAAAAAATAACAATTGGAAGAGTGTTGAAGACGACTAAGCAAGCAAGCAACAATTAAATCCACTAATTCTTCAACAAGCAATGATTTCCCATTTTCCACCTGACGTGCCGACATATAGAAACTGTAAATTGTTTGTTGAAGACAATTGAGCAGTGAGAGCTTCAAGAGGTTGTCTTCACTCTTCAATTAGGGCACTAAAAAATGAAAATTGAGCTTTAATTTTTAGTTTAAAACTTAAAAGAAGCGTGATTTAAAAAAAAAAAAAAAAGGGGTAATGCGTGTCCAAGCATGAATTAGTGGTCAATGGTTCGGTCAACGCAAACCGTTGACCGCTAAATTACCCGCCTACCCCCTTTGCTTGGCGTTTTCAATATGAGTTACGCTTAGACGTGCCTTTTAGAACACTGCGTTTTTCAAGCTTATCTAGGCTTAGGTGGAAGCGTGATCCAGGGTAGTTCGGTTCTCTTTAACATTGAACCAAATTGAGTACCAATTAGTGTTTTGTAAATAGAATTATTGGTTCCATCTCCAATGGAACTAAACCAAAATCATACCTTCCGACTCTAATTCAATTTGGTTCCTTGTGTTAAGTTCTCAAATTCAAAAACCTAAGCAAATCAAGTATCTAGATGTATAAGTTCCTAAGTTATAATTGTTTAATATCTAAGTATTTCATAATCTTTTCCAGCACATTATATATTGATTCTAATGAGTTGCATTTTTTTAAGTTTAACTAAACAAGATAATTTACATCAAAATGCTTGAGTATTGGCTTGAATGAATTTTTTAAAAACATGTTCCAATATCATTTATACTTTATACTTTGAGGGACCGTAAATGTTAATGGATCATTATTAATCTAGGTTTATAAACAATACCATAATAAATTGACTATGAGTATGATATATTATGGTGACATTCAAAAGAAAAATGTAAAATGGTTGGTGTATTGCACTAGTCATTTAAAAAAAAAAAATGTAACAATTTCAAGTTAAATCAATATTTTTTTTTTAATTCTTGGTATCAGAATTGAGAATTAGATTGAAATCGGCCAATTCTTGATTTTAATACCAAGAACATATTAGAACTTGAGTAGATTCAAATCGATCCGTTGTTCTCGATCCGATTTTGGTTCAATCCAATGAATCTAATTGCTTTTGCCAACGTCTAGCCAAGCATGTCATTCAATTATTAACCTATTGCCACAAATTTTTCTTTGTGAAAGTGCACTCAAAACCACAAATATTAGGATAATATTAGACTTTAATCAATGGCTTGTTACATGAGACTATATTGATAAAATATGAGGGATGGATGACAAGTATTTTAATAAGATGAATAAAGGATTCTCAAGATAGCAACGTATACTAATGATTTGAAGTGATATCATTTAAGGTACGTTTGATTGTCAATATTTTTCATGAAAAATGTGTTTTTTCCATATAAAAAATATTTTCCTATTTTTGGTCACGTAATCATATTTTTCTCAAAATTAAGAAAAATATTTTTTTTTTTATGGAGAGTAAGATTTTATTTTTCAGGGAATTCACTCTCTCTTTCTCGCATATCCATTCTCTTTCATCTACCCACCAATAAAAAATCGGACAAATATAATATTTTATAAGTTGAAAATTAAATTAATCAAACACATTTAATTGACAATTTTCTTTCAAATAAGTTTTAGGCAATTGAATTACTTAGAATGTTTTTTTCCATACCTGCAATCAAACGCACCTTTAGAATAAATTAAGGGAACGTTGATTTAGATAGTGAAGACATGTTTGGAAGGACCTAAAATGTCACTTAATCATAAGAGTGATAGTGTATGAATAAAGTCAAACTGATGCCAGAGAGACAAAAATTATTCAAGAAGCTATATGGTGCCTATCTTTATGTAGATTTACATATTTTTAAAAAAATACAACAAAAAATAAGGACAAAATGAAAAAGGTTAGATTTCATTTGAATTTGCTTGTAAAGCATACATATTCAAAGAAATTCCTTTCAGAGTGGCTGTTGATTTTTGGCCTTGATGAAATATTGGATGGGACAATGTCCTTTGCCTTGTTGCATTTGAAGGCTGTTGCAGAAGTTTTCTTCAAAGATCTTCAAATCGATAATTTTCGAGCTCAATTTAACGTACCTTTCTCTGCTAACAACCAATCCAATCAGCTTTAAACCACAACAAATATAATTCACCTCGATTATTATTCAATTTTACTCACATAGAACAAGAAAATATGATGATTTGTGACCACAAAGGTTAGGAGAATACACCACAACATTATACTATGAAGAAACCACCAATTACACAAAGTAAACAAGCGTTGGACACTTCTAGAGGCCTTTTTTTCACACACAAAGGGGGCAGCCGAGATTCCTTTATTTTTCTCACAAAACCACACAGAACATCACTAGAAAGTGGCTAAGGTTATAGTCATATATATACTCTAGGGTTAGGCTTTAAGTTGGACCTTTAAAAGGCTTAAAAGGGTTAAGATTCAAGCCATCCAAGAGGGAATACAATTGGGCCGAGTGTAACTCATGGACTTGATTGTTGAACTTATTTCATTCATCGGCCTATGTCTATAAAATAATATTAACCTACGTTAACATCATAACCTGAAATTTATTGGGTATCAAAAACCCAACAAAGGCCATTGGTCGTTTTTCCATCATATACCAGATAACCTAGAATAAAATAGAATGAGTTGATAAGACTGAAAATGATAAAGACAAAGTCACTAACGTTAACTCATAAACTTTGATATGCATATCTAAGTTAGTTTAGCTCAATTGATTTTTATAGTGATAGTGTAAACCACTATAATTCGTGAGTTTTTTTGTTTTTATTTCGTTTATTATAGTTTAATACCTAAGACTCGATGTTCAAAGAAAGATACCATGTTCATATGTCACATTAGGGTGAACCACTATAACTCTTATGTAATTATTTTTTGCTTATTAATTAGTACTCCCGATGTTCGATTAGGGTTCCCTAAGACTAAGTTAAAAGAAAGGTATCAAGTTCATATCTCGCATGGTGTAAAACACAATAACTTTGTGTTCTATTTTTGTTTTGTTTATCATTCCTCTCGTTATTGGAAAAGTGTTCGTGTCTGACATTAGGGCAAAAATCATCATAAATCTACATTATTGCTCTTGAAATTGGAATTCGGGCTTATCCTCTAAGACGTTAAACGAAAAATATGACATGAAAGAAGGGCTTATCTTGTGAAAGGTGATTGTTTGGTTCCTATAACAAGATTAGTAATGTTAACAACATGAATCAGATCAATAATTGCTTTGGCTGCTGCATTTCTCTCCACAAGCATTGTTTCTACTGTTACCAGTGAACAAAATATTGAAAAACTCATTCTTTTTGCGTTTGAATGCTCCGAATTGAATACTTTAAATTGGAATTTGTCGAAAAAACTACTCGAATTTCACATGGAATAGTTTCTATACACACTTTTGTGTCGTTGCATGGACGAATATATCTTCCTAAGAGATTCCTTCTCCTGTTACTTTCCTTATTGATAAACCTGCACTTGCTCTTTGCTTAATTGGCTCTTTGATAGCCTTCCTACTGCACATGAAACTGTTGGAAAATTTACACCGATTATGTGGAAATTATATTCATAAAAACCTATCGTCGATTTGCATGAAATCGAAACATAATTTCGACTTATCGAAATTGGATTTAATAAGGAGAAATGATAATTTACCGATTCCAAACGCAAGAATATGGATTCTTCTCTTTCGATTCTTGAATGATTGAACTTTGTCCTTTGAATTGAACCTCGCAACATAAACACGTAAATTAGATTAATCATTTTCTGAAATCAAAGTATAATTAACAGAACTCAGAAAATAAAGTGAGAAGATAGATTTTTGACCGAGGCAAGTATTGAACACTTTGTCGTTAAGATGAATTTGTCCCACATCGATGCTAACGGTTCTTCAACAATCATCTCCCAAGATACAACGACCACGTCGAGTCATAGGAGCACTCCAAATGACTTCAACCAGCGAACTCGAACGGAATTCCCTCTCTACCATGACCATGACTTTGATGCAAATTTAAATCACTTCTAAAAGTGTTTTATGCAAACTAAAGTGTAAGCATGGAATGGAATGATATGATCTATCTATTGACTTTCATGAATTTCTTGAATGATAAAATTCAAACACATGGGATCTATATATAGTAGTTGGAAAGGTATGTCAAAAGACACAAACATACCAAGAGTCACATCTCTTGGAATTCATAATTATTGGAAAATAATTATGCCAAAGGTTATGACCACAACCATACCAAGAGTCACGTCTCTTGAAATTCATAATTATTGGAAAATAATTATGCCAAAGGTTATGACCGTTCACATGACAATACATATTTTCATCCAACCATTTTCTAGAATATTCTACAATATTCTATACAATTTTTCAACAATTTTCAATATTAAACTGCTTACATTTGGCTTAATTTCTCATTCACCAAATTAAGAATTCCGCCTAAATAATCATGTAAAATTGGTCACAACCAATTTCCGATACAAAATTCCAACAGAAACTTCAGGCAATAAAATGTTTCACCCAGCCATTTTAACAAACAGTTCAAGTGCAATGGATACCGAAAAGTAAGATATTAGTGCTCGCGTGTGTAGACTTGTAAGTGCCTAAAAGTATTAGATCCAAAGGAATGTGTAATTAAAACTGATGTTTGTCCAATTTTTAAGCACTTTTATCTAGTCGACCCCAATTTGTAGGAAAATCTATTGTAAAGATATGACTTTTGGTAAGTTAGACTGTATGTAAAGAAAATGTTTTAAAGTTTTTGTTCATTAAACTGTCTAATTATATCGAATATTGCATGCCAAGGACCATATATTCCACAAATCAATTTTTATAGACTCCAAGCTAAACATCTGTTTTTTGTTGGAGAATGATCAGGTCAAACAGGAAATAAGATCATCGACTCATGATCTGGTTCATAGTCATACTGTGTGTCTGCTGTATACACTGTTAGATAGGACTAGACAATAAAATAAATAAGATTTTAGCTCTTTTTCCAATCTTAATACCGTCTGGCTATTCAATCCTCCTTACTAAATATGTCTTTTCAAGAAAATAGAAGAGCAGTAGGTTACCTGGAGCAGGGATGTAAGTAATAGGATGGAAAACATGCACAAGGAAAACACAATTTTTCGCTGGAGACAGCATGATCAAGTGCCCATTTAACAGCATGCAAATCATTTTTCCCAACAGCAACATAAACATCATTAAAACCTCCATCCATGCTTGTGCTTTCCTCTCCAATCTCGACTATCTCGGGTGAACCGACTTGCCAATTATGATGATACGACCCCTCTTCTGTGGTCATTGGAATTCGTCCTAATTCCATCAGAAGAGAACATGATCAAATTTGATACAAAAGAAGTAAAAAAAAAAAAAAAAAAAAGAAAAAATGAAAGGAAGGTAGTTTTTTCCAATGCCACTAAATAAAAGAAAATGAAGAAGTTGGATTCTATTTTGTCAATATTTGCAGGCCTTTTTGGACATGTCATTTAATGTGATAGGCTATGTTCTTGATATAACAGAAGAATTCATTTTTCTTTCCCTTTTCTCCATAACCAAATGTTAATCCCCATTGAATAAAGCCAGTCATACATGCTAAAAAAAGAGAATTAGAGGACAGACTGATTTGACAGAAATTGGTTGGCCCTTTTTTCTTTTTAATTTTTCAAGGTGTCCAATAATATTTCAACACGTGTCCACCTTATTTTTGAGCCTGTCTCTATAGCATTATTGATCCCCATTAGCCCTCTTTTGGATTGACTTTACACTTTACTAGAAGATAAGGCCATTTTGTAAGCGTGTTCTTCCACTCATCTAAATGGTTGTTAATCCATGATTTTCGACCACATTTGTGCGTTATCCGATACGTAGTACAATATAGGATTTAATTGTACCGTATAGATTTTAGATTCTTTTCTTTTTTCTTTTTTTGAATTTTTCGATACTATATAATCTATCTTACCAAACGAGCCATGAAAGTTTTAGCTAAAAGCCCACCTCAAAAATGGATTTTTAGCTAAAAGTTGCATGATCTCATTAACCCATGATAAATGGCTTAAGATTTGTCTCATTTCCGTTCAAAGTAATTGTTTAATTGAAGAAGTTTGAAATGAATTAAATTAAAATTTCTGGATTTTGAAAATTTATGAACAACAAGGCTAGCTTGTCTTGTTGGTGACTTGGTGTATTATTCTTCTGAGCCAACTACTACACATTAATTTGTCATGGATTTAGTCTGATTGATGATAAATTTGTGCATAGTCTGTGTGTTTGAAACCCGAAAAGAAAAAGGCAGAAATAAACTCAAATTGTCTACTTGAAATATATCTTTCGTTACGAATGAGTTTCTTAATTGTTTCTAGGAGACCTGTTCTTCAAATGTTGTCTTCAACCACTTGGTACTATATGCTTTTTCCCTAAAATATTTTTGCAGGCAGCCTTTGTCAAGATTATGGCATGGGCAAAAGGTTGCAACAATTTTTAGATGGATATTTTAAGTGCGAACAAAGTAATATGTTGTAATATTTCCTATATGAAGAAGAAAAAAGTAAAAATCTTTTATATATGTAAAAAGTTAAGAACTAATGCACGATTAGTGGATCATGATGGAGAAAAACCGAGCCAAGAACGCCTAGATCATAAATGAAAAAAAATCACATGTTATGGATTGCCTCTCTATTCTTGGATTGGGCCAAATCTAATTGTCTTTGAAGTAGGGTTTTATCCTTCAAGTAAAACGCATTATTGGAAACGCAACTTTCTCTTAAAATTGTGAGATGAATTTTTGGCCCTAAATTTGGCGTTATTGTGACCGTTGGATCTAGATATTTGGTTGGACTATTTATAGCCTTCCATGACCCTTCGTGGCATTGTGCAGTCACTTTCTAGGGTTTTCTTTCATCTTCTCTGAGAGTTTTCATCTTCTTCGTGGTTTCTAATCTTCAATCTCTGTAAAATCTTAGTGATGTTTAGATTGTATTTTATATACGATTTGAGAGATTATGAGAAGAGCAATTTTCTGTAAAAGGAGGTGAAAAGAAAACTTAAGTGAATAATACATTCTTGTATCGATTCTTTGTGATTTTTAGTGGATTTGAGCCTAATTTACTTGGTAGATGCTCAACGGGTGAGTTGGCTTCCGCTGAACATCCGAGTCCTAAGAGGCGAAAATTCTTGGTGTTTTTTACTTTTTGTAATTTTACTTGTTTTCTGAAAATTCTTTTTATATAAATATCGATCTTGAGACCAACAATATATAATTACAATGTGAAAAGTTCGTGTCTGAGGTAAAGAATGCTGAGTATAATAATCTCATAAAAGAATGAATAAGTAAAATGAAAGTGCTTAATATGCGCGTAGGATAGTTTTAGCTTACAGAACAGGTTACCAATCATATGCAATATACATTGTGCTATCTGAAATCATCAATAATTGTGTGGATTAATCAATAAATAGTGTCGAACACTAATTTATGAGGACAAGATTCCTCTCAATGCTAACATGGGGCACAACTTTGCTTTTATCAATCCCATCTGAATCCAGAAAGAATTCATTCTAAACACATAATATATATCTAAAACTTCCGCAACTCAATCATAGACGATGAAATTATTAAAAAAATTCTGATTAACCTTCAGATTAATCGAATCCAGAAGAAGTTGTATATAGAGCCATAATGCAAACTAAAACTGTCCATTGTTACATCATGAACCTGTGTACTTTACACAAGAAAATGAACGTTTCCACTAGTTATGTAAAGGTATTTTCTCTATCAATGGTATCCTAACAGCATTATGTGGTGCAAAAAAAGGGATAGTGGCTTAGTGGGTGGTGGACCATAAAAGCACAACAAAAATGTTGGACAACTTATCCCGCGCAATATTGATTATGATACCGTTTGGTAGGGTTTGTTTTTGTTTCTTGTAGAAGAGTTTCCTAAGATATTTATTTTGAAATCAACTTTCTCTAAAAGTTCTTTTAACAAGGCAACGTTTTCGGAAAATCATTTAAAGATGTTCAGAAGTAGCTTTTTAGTTTCAACGTTTGTTTGACACGGCTTATTTTAAGATCATTTCCTCAAATTGATTTTTAACCACACATTTTCTTGATAAAATAATTTTGCAAGCAGACCTTTTTTGACACACACAGTCTCCAAAAATCAATTTTTTTACTTCAAACAAACACTTAGAAGCAACTTTTAACTTTTGAAAAGTCCTCTCATATAGGGTTTATGATATAAATCAAAAGTGGCACTAGAATGTAAAAAAAGGGATAACAAAAAAATAGTATATACTGTCACATATGCGTGATAACGTGCAATATTAGATAAATAATGTTACTTGTACGTAATGGAGTTACATAATGATTTACATATAAACGAGGTGCTAATAAGAGGGTGGGAAGGTTTTTCTTTTTAATAATTTGATTGAAGAAATTCTGACTCGATGATATCTCACTACATTGTGTGTATATAAACCATTATACTCATGTTTGGGTTCGTTCTTATCCATTATCAATAGTCTCATAAAAAACATAGTCCAAATGCCTATAATGTAGGAAACGAATTCATCAAGTATTTAAATGAAGAAATCACAGGTAACTTTAAACATTAGTTCAGACAGAATGGTGGGGATGCCCAACGATGAAGTGATCTTAATGGAACTAGTGGTTCTAAAATTTCACCCAAGTACTATATAAAGGAACCCTCTTTATGCATAGCTCAGAGTATTCATGTAACAAGATCTTTTCTAAGTCATACAAAGATTTTTGAGGTCCAGTCTTGAGGCAAAAATTTAGGTCGAGAATGGTGAAAGTGTTTCTTGTCATACCAAAACTGCTGCTGATTCTAATATCTGCCAGTTGGATATCTCTTTGGCTTCTTAAGCCAACAGAACTCTGGACAAGAAAATGGAAGGGAGCAGAAGAGAAAGCCACAGCTACCATTTTTGGCTATAATGGTAACCCACTCTATCAAAGATCTTTACTTCTCTATACACTGTAAACTCCAGCCAAAATTCTCCTTTTCTCATTCACATAAAATAGTCGAGGAGATTAAATCCAGCACACTGTCTTCATAAATCATCATATAATTGATTTGAAGTTCCAACGGTTCATAAAATATATATAAATAAAGAGAAACTAAGCACCATTTCTTAGCTTATGTTAAACAACACATGGCAAATCAATTAATTGGTATATAAGTTTATGGTAAGTTTTGGGAATTAAATCAGATTTGTTGAATTTATATGTCATGTCACTGTTGCTTATTACAAGTCAAGTAATGGTGTTTGATGGATCATTTCTCTATCTACAAACCTCCACCTATCTAATAAATCTAATCTTTAGGTGAGGTGTTTTAGCAGGATATGCAAAGGCCTCGAGTGGTTGAAGTNATGAGTTTCTTAATTGTTTCTAGGAGACCTGTTCTTCAAATGTTGTCTTCAACCACTTGGTACTATATGCTTTTTCCCTAAAAGATTTTTGCAGGCAGCCTTTGTCAAGATTATGGCATGGGCAAAAGGTTACAACAATTTTCAGATGGATATTTTAAGTGCGAACAAAGTAATATGTTGTAATATTTCCTATATGAAGAAGAAAAAAGTAAAAATATTTTATATATGTAAAAAGTTAAGAACTAATGCACGATTAGTGGATCATGATGGAGAAAAATCGAGCCAAGAACGCCTAGATCATAAATGAAAAAAAAATCACATGTTATGAATTGCCTCTCTATTCTTGGATTGGGCCAAATCTAATTGTCTTTGGGCTATTTGGACCATTGGGTTTTATCCTTTAAGTAAAACGCATTGTTGGAAACGCAACTTTCTCTTAAAATTGTGAGATGAATTTTTGGCCCTAAATTTGGCGTTATTGTGACCGTTGGATCTAGATATTTGGTTGGACTATATATAGCCTTCCATGACCCTTCGTGGCAGTGTGCAGTCACTTTCTAGGGTTTTCTTTCATCTTCTCTGAGAGTTTTCATCTTCTTCGTGGTTTCTAATCTTCAATCTCTATAAAATCTTAGTGATGTTTAGATTGTATTTTGTATACGATTTGAGAGATTATGAGGAGAGCAATTTTCTGTAAAGGGAGGTGAAAAGAAAACTTAAGTGAAGAATACATTCTTGTATCGATTCTTTGTGATTTTTAGTGGATTTGAACCTAATTTACTTGGTATATGCTCAACGGGTGAGTTGGATTCGGCTGAACATCCGGGTTCTAAGGGGCAAAAATTCTTGGTGTTTTTTACTTTCTGCAATTTTAACTGTTCTCTGAAAATTATTTTTATATAAATATCGATCTTGAGACCAACAATATATAATTACAATATGAAAAGTTCGTGTCTGAGGTAAAGAATGCTGAGTATAATAATCTCATAAAAGAATGAATAAGTAAAATGAAAGTGCTTAATATGCGCGTAGGATAGTTTTAGCTTTCAGACCAGGTTACCAATCATATGCAATATACATTGTGCTATCTGAAATCATCAATAATTGTGTGGATTAATCAATCAATAGTGTCAAACACTAATTTATGAGGACAATATTCCTCTCAATGCTAACATGGGGCACAACTTTGCTTTTATCAATCCCATCTGAATCCAGAAAGAATTCATTCTAAACACATAATATATATCTAAAAGTTCGGCAACTCAATCATAGACGATGAAATTATTAAAAAAATTCTGATTAACCTTCAGATTAATCGAATCCAGAAGAAGTTGTATATAGAGCCATAATGCAAACTAAAACTGTCCATTGTTACATCATGAACCTGTGTACTTTACACAAGAAAATGAACGTTTCCACTAGTTATGTAAAGGTATTTGCTCTATCAATGGTATCCTAACAGCATTATGTGGTGCAAAAAAAGGGATAGTGGCTTAGTGGGTGGTGGACCATAAAAGCACAACAAAAATGTTGGACAACTTATCCCGCGCAATATTGATTATGACACCGTTTGGTAGGGTTTGTTTTTGTTTCTTGTAGAAGAGTTTCCTAAGATATTTATTTTGAAATCAACTTTCTCTAAAAGTTCTTTTAACAAGGCAACGTTTTCGGAAAATCATTTAAAGATGTTCAGAAGTAGCTTTTTAGTTTCAACGTTTGTTTGACACGGCTTATTTTAAGATCATTTCCTCAAATTGATTTTTAACCACACATTTTCTTGATAAAATAATTTTGCAAGCAGACCTTTTTTGACACACACAGTCTCCAAAAATCAATTTTTTTACTTCAAACAAACACTTAGAAGCAACTTTTAACTTTTGAAAAGTCCTCTCATATAGGGTTTATGATATAAATCAAAAGTGGCACTAGAATGTAAAAAAAGGGATAACCAAAAAATAGTATATACTGTCACATATGCGTGATAACGTGCAATATTAGATAAATAATGTTACTTGTACGTAATGAAGTTACATAATGATTTACATATAAACGAGGTGCTAATAAGAGGGTGGGAAGGTTTTTCTTTTTAATAATTTGATTGAAGAAATTTTGACCCGATGATATCTCACTACATTGTGTGTATATAAACCATTATACTCATGTTTGGGTTCGTTCTTATCCATTATCAATAGTCTCATAAAAAACATAGTCCAAATGCCTATAATGTAGGAAACGAATTCATCAAGTATTTAAATGAAGAAATCACAGGTAACTTTAAACATTAGTTCAGACAGAATGGTGGGGATGCCCAACGATGAAGTGATCTTAATGGAACTAGTGGTTCTAAAATTTCACCCAAGTACTATATAAAGGAACCCTCTTTATGCATAGCTCAGAGTATTCATGTAACAAGATCTTTTCTAAGTCATACAAAGATTTTTGAGGTCCAGTCTTGAGGCAAAAATTTAGGTCGAGAATGGTGAAAGTGTTTCTTGTCATACCAAAACTGCTGCTGATTCTAATATCTGCCAGTTGGATATCTCTTTGGCTTCTTAAGCCAACAGAACTCTGGACAAGAAAATGGAAGGGAGCAGAAGAGAAAGCCACAGCTACCATTTTTGGCTATAATGGTAACCCACTCTATCAAAGATCTTTACTTCTCTATACACTGTAAACTCCAGCCAAAATTCTCCTTTTCTCATTCACATAAAATAGTCGAGGAGATTAAATCCACCACACTGTCTTCATAAATCATCATATAATTGATTTGAAGTTCCAACGGTTCATAAAATATATATAAATAAAGAGAAACTAAGCACCATTTCTTAGCTTATGTTAAACAACACATGGCAAATCAACTAATTGGTATATAAGTTTATGGTAAGTTTTGGGAATTAAATTAGATTTGTTGAATTTATATGTCATGTCACTGTTGCTTATTACAAGTCAAGTAACGGTGTTTGATGGATCATTTCTCTATTTACAAACCTCCACCTATCTAATAAATCTAATCTTTAGGTGAGGTGTTTTAGCAGGATATGCAAAGGCCTCGAGTGGTTGAAGTCTAATTGCCACCCGTTTATTTAAATTCCACAAGTCAGATCTTTGTGAAGAAAATGAATGCAACATGCATGTTATGAGGCTTGTTGAACATAATAAAATAAATAAATTCGTTTTTCTGTCTAACATTAAGATGATACGACACCAAACAACAGCTAGAAGGAAAAAAAAAATGGTTTTTGCTGTGAAATATTAATATTGCTTTGGTACAGGTCTTGACTTTGCTGTCTACACATTTCCTATAGTTGCTTTGGCTATAATTGGTTTCATTTACTTGGAACTTAAACCAAAGGAACCAAATATGAGGTACAAAACTGTTTCCATTCCATAGAACACAACTTTTGTTTACTTGATGCTGATGCATATGTATATTTGGACACAGGCCAGGAAGAAGTTTAATCACTGCTCTCTCCAATCCCCTTATTATCAATCGTTACCTAGGAATCTTATCTGCAATCGAGATCCTTGCTTCTTCTCTGTTTATTATCTTTCTAATTTGGACCTTCTACGCCCGCATTTCAAATGATTTCAGAAAGATGATACCAGTCAAATCATTCAAATTGATTCCGTAAGTTAATTTCAAATCAACGATGACTCCAAACTTCGAAAAGAAGTATTAACATATGTACAATCAACTTCTTTACCTGCATTTCAGATGGCAGTACAAATTGTTCAGGATGGCTACCCGGTGTGGTTTGCTGGCAGAAGCTTGCCTAGCACTGATTCTTCTGCCCATATTGAGGGGAATGTCTATATTTCGGCTACTTGGCATCCAGTTCGAAGCATCAGTGAGATACCACATTTGCTTAGGCACGGCCATGATATTTTTTGCAACTTTACATGGGGCAGGCACCCTTTTTATCTGGGGAGTTAAACATAGAATTCAAGATGAGGTAATCTCTACAAAACTTCTTTAATTCTCAGAATCTGCTTCAATATAACAACATATTTACCTCAAGTCCTTAATGTCCTAAACCAGATGTGGAAATGGCAGAAGACAGGCCGCATATACCTTGCTGGTGAGATAACCCTTATCACAGGTTTAGTCATTTCGATCACAGCATTGCCACAGATAAGAAGGAAGTGGTTTCAGGCCTTTTACTACTCACACCATCTTTATATAGTCTTCATAGTATTCTTTTTGTTCCATGGTGGAGACCGACATTTTTACATGGTTTTTCCTGGTGTTTTTCTCTTTGCCCTGGATAAGCTGCTCCGAATCATACAGTCGAGGCCAGAGACGTGCATTCTTTCTGCTCGAGTCTTCCCAAGCAACGCCATTGAACTTACTTTGCCGAAAGACCCAAGTATATATACCATTATATCGTCTTTGACCCCAACCCAAGTATTTGAAGTATATCCTATTTTATTAGAACGATTTATCGAATCTTAGAAGTAACTCGTAACTTTATACCTATGATTTCAGGATTGAAGTACACACCAACAAGCGTGATTTTCTTGAAGATACCAAGTATTTCCAAGTCCCAATGGCATCCTTTTAGCATAACTTCTAGCTCCAGTGTCGATAAAAACTCTATCTCAATAATTATCAAATGTGAGGGACAATGGACAAGTTCCCTCTATAATCAAATTCATGCTGAAAAAGAATCAGAATCTGATTTAAGGAAGTGTATTCCAATTGCAACAGAAGGTCCTTATGGACCTGCCTCACTGGATTTCCTAAGGTATCGATATGATTTACAGAACATTTTGGAATTGTTGTCAGTTTATCTGCATATAAATGCAGCAACCTCATCACTTTTTTTGGATCACTGAAAATTAATGCAGGTATGACAATCTGCTTCTAGTCGCTGGAGGAATTGGGCTAACACCATTTCTTAGCATTTTGCAAGAAATTGGCTCCAAACTAAACAACAGCAGAAATAAATATCCCTCTCGAATACAATTCATCTACACCGTAAAAAATTCTCATGAAATTTGCTTGTTAGAACCAATTCTAGATCAGCTCCTAGACGTTGAACAATTTCATATAAAACTTAAAGTATTTGTGACTAGGGAAAACCAGCCTAGTACAACACTAAGAGAAGTACTTAAAGACTTACCTGACATGCAAACAACAAATTTTAGCACCACACATTCAAGCTATGCAACATGTGGACCTGAGAGTTTAACTTGGATGGCAACCATAGCAATGTTTTCTTCCATCATATTTCTACTCTTGCTTAGTTTTTTCAACCATTTCGTTGTGTCCCCTGCCAAGAAGCCCTCTCAAGAGAAAAATTCCACTTCACAGATGGATCTCCTTCTCATATGCTCTTTTTTCATAGCAGTTGTATTTAGTGGCTTGGTGGTTATTATTATAAGATGGAAAAGGCTAAGAAAGGGATTTCTATCATTTTCCAATGAAAAAAGACAACCCATGAAACAAAGTTCCCTTGAAGTCGACAAAGCTCTTGACGAACATGGAATCCATTTTGGAAGAAGGCCAAACTTTCAAGGTAGCATTTTGCTTTTCTTTACTACCAAAAATTTCTTATCCTGCAGATACTAATCTGACTCATGCATCAAATGTGCTGGGAATCTAACAGATATATTCTCCAATTTCACAAAAGAATGCGGGGGATCAGAGATAGGCGTCTTGGTTTGTGGACCAGAAACAATGAAACAGAACCTGGCTTCAGCATGCAAGCTAAATACTTGGAAAACAAATTTCTGTTTTCACTCCCTCAACTTCACACTCTGATTAAATTATACAAGGCACAAAGGTTTACAGCTTAAGATGTTACTGAGAGTACTATAATTTAATTTTGTTTATGAATCATGCCAGCATATGTATATATTATCGTAAGAAATCGAACGCATATAGTTGGTTCTTTCCTATTATAAGGATCCTTATCGTTTAGATTAACGTACTTTCTTGAAAGATATCATCAAGTCCCTTTTAGAAGATTAGGTGGCAAAGATCGTTGTCTAATATCATAAATTCAATAAAGAATAATACATTTCTTTAGACATTTCATAAATCCACATTATAGAACACAAAAATAGCAAGATGTATTGCTCCAAATGGTCTTCCATGAGTTTGAAAAGCATAGAATCAGTTCAAATATTACCAAAAACACTAAATACGTATTTAGTTTGTCGAACTAAACAAGACAATAGAGTGCAAGTCACCACGGCCTTTCACTTTTACTTATTTCATATTTGGACATTCGAACAATATGGTCCAAGGATGTCGAAGGATGGAAACAAGATGGGGCACAATTCCTACTACGCAGGGGATTTTAGGGAGGCCGAGCGGGGATTAAAATATCCCTATTTACCATCCAGTTTAATTAATTATTTAGTTATTAAATATGATCTCAATTGATAAAACATAAAAATTAAAATTATTCACATCCATATACATAGCCACACATAGAAGCGTACAATTTAGTCTAATTATATACCCTTTTTCTTAGTAATGAGTAAATAATGCTCGTTGATCTCTTAACTTGAAAAGTGTTTTTTTAAGTTGGGAGCTTAATATTAGAAATCATTGAATGAAAAACAATTTATTTTACTCCATTAAAGGAGAAGGGGAATTACAATGGAACACTCCATTAAAGGAGGAAATACACTCCATAATTGAAGGAAGAAAACACTCCATGAAGGAGAAGAGAATCCTCCATCAAAGGAGGGATTGGAAGATACTACAATCCAATGATCTAAAAATGCCTACACAGTGCTGTATTTATAGAGTAAAATGGCTAGAGTAATTTGTTAAGATTTGGAGTCCATCTTAATAAGGTCAACCTTATTAAGTGGAATGGCTTAAGATCTATTTAAGTTGGTCAATATTTTGGTATTTAACCGATGTGAGATTTATTCTCTTTACATGCCCCGCAAGATGGTGACTCTTTTTTAGCAGATCAATTTTGAAATTCGTGTGCTCATTTTTGAGACTTAATCGGATCGAATAACTCGTTGGAGCTTACTGAGCTCTGGTACCATGTTGAGATTTGGGGTCCATCTTAATAAGGTCAACCTTATTACCTTATTAAGAGGAATGACCCAAGATTTATTTAAGTTGATCAATATTTCGGTATTTAACCGATGTGGGATTTATTCCCTTAACATGCCCCCACAAGATGGTGGCTCTCTTTGAGCAGACCAATCTTGAAATCCGTGTACTCATTTTTGAAACTTAATCGGATTGAATAGCTCGTTGGAGCTTACTGTGCTCTGGTACCATGTTAAGATTTGGGGTCCATCTTAATAAGGTCAACCTTGTTAAGAGGAGTGACACAAGATATATTTAAGTTGGTCAATATTTCGGTATTTAACCGATGTGGAATTTATTCCCTTCACATAATTAACTAACTAATTGACTGATTAACAAGCTAATCATCTAACTAAGTAACAACTTAACAACTATACATGCTGGAAGGATCTAGAATCTGCAGAGCTGGAGATGGAATATTCTGGTGCACACGTGATGCTGGAAGGTTGAATCTGCTGATATTTGGTGCATGTGTATTCCAACACTTAAGGTTTTATATTTTTTGTGTTACATTGAAAAAGTGCGCTACAACAAGTGTATCTTTTTCACTGCATAATTTAAATGATAACGATAATGGATTTTCGAATGGCGTATTTTCTTCTAGGCATGGAAGCATTTTTATTAGTTTATTACCAACATAGACAAGCTAAAATTGAAATAAAAATAAAACTTGTGTGGTTCATCCAAATCACAATGTTATTTTCTTGTTCCTAAATGAGTCTTTTTCATCTTTTTAGGTTTATGCTCTACATCGGGGATTCCTTCTTAAGCTGCTGGTTGGATTACTCCCTATAGAAAAGCACGCATCGAGAAAGACAGTACCATACGAGATAGCATAGATCGGTAAAGTAAGAGGATTTGAACAAAAGAAGTTCATAATCAAAGTAAATCAATGCTTAAGTTAAGTGAATAACATTATTTATAACACAAAAAAAAAAAAATTAACAACGCAAGCTGCTGGATTGGAGAAGAAAAGAGAATTCGACCAAATTACAAAACCCTTTTCACAAGGAAACCAAAAATAGAAAAAAAAAAGCTCTTTTATTAATTAAGGAATAAATAAATATAATATATCAAACATTAATTATGTAAGATTCCATGATCTATATAAAAATCTATTTTATTAATTAACAATAAATCATTCAATATTCACAAATGTTGAAATCTCAATAATGAATGAAGCCATGTTTGGTCGTACTTAAAAGTAATCTTTTAATCCTTTAATTGAAAACATCCATTTAGCTACTTTTATCGGCCGTAGGAGTATGCCTAGACTACAAACATCGTTCTTCTTCTATGCAACCAAACATGACCTTGCATTAATTTCAAAATCGTAGAAAGCAAATATCGAATTTAGTACAAGATAAGTCGTATAAATTCAAATCATGTTCTCTTGGTTTCTTGAATGTGCAAAGTGTAGGAATTGGTTCAAATAATTAACCAAAAATTGGAAAATGAAAAAGTGTGTAAAAGTAAAAAATGAAAAGGTGTAACTACGTGTCAATTTTGACCAAATATTCGGACTTGATCCGATGGTCAAATTAAAAAAGTAAATAGACCAACTTATTCTACTCGTCGAGTAGATCGTTGTGGTATATTTGGAATCTCGAAACCAATTTCGGATGAATGAGAAATTGTGGACCAAAGTTGGAAGAAATGAAGTATTGCAACTTTTCGAAATGATGCAGGTTTTGGCCAAGTATTACAACTTTTTGAAAAAATACATGTTTTGACCCACACTACTTCATTTGCACTCTTCCTACATTTATAAATAGAACCATATGAACATGGTTTTGGGTACACCAATTGCATTGATCATTCATTCTCCTCTTGTAATTCTCTCATTTCTAATTCCATAGCATTTTCATGCATTTCCTTTATAGAGGGGAAATTCTATCAAAAGTTCGTTGATTTCTTGTGGTTTGAAGTGCTACTACCACAAGTTGTGAATCCATTGTATCTTGGAAGACAAATACCATTCAATGTAAGCACCATAGCGGGGCATTTTGTCTTAAGCAAAAGGATAACGTCTCGCCTTGGATTATTCTCTATTTCCACTCCTTCTTAATCTTTTTTTTTTTGCGTAATCGTTATACTGAAACTCTGTCCAAATTTTCATTCATATATATTGTGTTTTGATCACGCTCTTACGGGTTAAAACTGGTCAAACAAATATATCAAAAACTAACCCTTACATAGCCATTTTTATAAGTCGTCTCCAACAAAATTAAGACAGATTTTTGTGTCTTTGCGGTTGGTTGTGGACAACCATTACTTTGTTTGAATAGTGCTTTGTGTACTATTCTTCCACCGATATTATCATCATTTTGTTGAACTTCTGTTTGTATAACAGAAATGACTACCATCGAAACTTCGTCAAGTCAAAATGGTTCCTATAATGTGGTACTACTCGTGGCCGTACCATTGCATAATACTATTATCCCACATGGGGAAAAGCCGAAAAAATTTGCAGGAGTAGATTTCAAGATGTGGCAACAAAAGATGTTGTTTTATCCCATCACTCTTAATTTGGCTAAATTTCTAAAGGAAACTGCACCGGCTGTACAAGAAGGGGAAAATAATCGTGAATCAATTATTGCTTTGGATGCATGGAAACACTGGGACTTCTTATGCAAGAACTATATCCTATACGGATTGGATAATACACTATATGAGGTGTATAGTTCAAAGGAATCAGCCAATGAACTATGGGATTCTTTGGAGACAAATTACAAGACCGAGGATGTCGGAACAAAGAAGTTCATTGTTGGCAAATTTTTGGACTATAAGATGGTGGATTCCAAAATCGTAATTAGCCAAATGCAAGAGATTCAAGTCTTGTTGCACGACATCCATGCTGAGAAAATGGAATTGAGTGAATCATTCCAAGTGGCTGCCATTATTGAAAAACTCCCTTCTATGTGGAGAGATTTCAAAAATTACCTCAAGCACAAATATAAGGAAATGAATTTGGAAGAATTGATAGTGCGCTTGACGATTGAAGAGGACAATCGAAAAATCGAACGAAGACCGGTTGATCAAGATGGTGCAAATTTTGTTGAAATGGAACCAAAGGTAGCAAACAAGAAACGAAAAGCTACTAATTATGCACCGCAAAGAGACAATTCTAAGAAGGCTAAGAAGTTTAAAGGGAATTGTTACAACTGTGGCAAGGTTGGACATCGTTCAAGTGAATGTCGAAAGCCAAAGAAAAATGCTCAAACCCGCATGGTTGCAAATAACACTCTATCCGATGGACTGCAAGAAATGAGTTTATCTGTAGTAGTGTCCGAATGCAACATGATTGAAAATACTAGAGAATAGTGGATTGACACCAGCGCTACCCGCCATGTGTGTGCGGACAAGGGGATGTTCTCCAACTATCAAGAATTGAATGGGGAACAATTATACATGGAAAATTCTGCAAGTTCCAAAGTTGAGGGACAAGGCAAAATTACTTTGAAAATGACATCCGGGAAAGTACTCGTCCTCAACAATGTCCTACATGTGCCGGATATACGAAAGAATTTAGTGTCCGGGTCTCTACTTAGCAAGAATGGTTTTGAACTTGTATTTGTATCCGATAAATTTGTGTTGTCTAAGAATGAGATTTATGTAGGGAAATGATACATGTGTGATGGAATGTTCAAGTTGAACGTTCTTACAATTGTACCGAAGTAAGTCGTTATGAATAAAAATATAAATTCCGTTTACTTGCTTGAGCCTTCATGTTTGTGGCATAATCGATTAGGACATGTGAATTACAAATCGTTGAGCAAACTAATGAATCAAAATTTAATTCCGGCGCATAAAATTGAGCATAATCATAAATGTGAAATATGTGTTGAAGCAAAATTGGCTAAAAC